TAGTTCAGTGCCTAAGCAACTGAGTAGAATACATGTAACAACAGAAGACAAGGACCAGGCAACAGACTGCTTATTGAGAAAATCAAGAGATTTTTATGTACATTATTCTCAGCGAAGAGCAACGACCTCTGATTGGTTGTTTTCTTGCTGAAGGTTATTCTGTACTGCTTGTAACCGTCTCTTAGATAGTTAAGCCATATATCTGCGAATGGTATTTGCACACGTTAAGTCTACTGTGATTGGTTGGTGAGTCCCTCAAGGTTAAGCTTTGTTATTGTTTTTTCTCATGACCCCGATTCGGGACGTGAACATTGACGTAAATTGTTGTCTACAATTTTGGCTTGTAGACAACTCTCACCACATACACAACAAGTGTAGCACAAGGTTTAGTATATGGAAAATGTGTCCCGAGTAGCTGAGACTCAGGTAACTAACTACTCTAAAATACTTCGGTATTATTATTATGAAAATTAATCTTTAGAAATTTATATAACATTAAATTACCTATTTGTATCCAATTCAACCGGTGATATTGTCTCCTTGTGTTCAATAGTTTCATTGGATAATTTGTGTATCGGTTTTGGTATAGAGATAATCTTTTCTGGTTGACTAACTTCTTCGTTATTGGAAATGGTGTTTTTCTGATTTGAATTTTGAAAGGTGAATTGTGCTCTTTGTTTTTGAATAATTCTTTGTTTCACTAGACGTACTCTGAAAAGTAAATCAATAGAGAGTATAATAATCTCAAAGATTTAAAATAAGGTAGCTGCTAAACATTAGAAAACTATATGTATGCGCTGAATATATATGATGGGGAAGATTTGTAGCCCAGGTGGATGATTTTGATGTGGTTGTGTTCTCTGAGCTGGATAGTTTATTTGCGAAGCTTTCACCGCCCTACTAAGCAACATCTTCAGCGCATACTTCAATTTGAATTGAAGTGAGCTGTTAGATTTCTCCACGAGTTTATTAATCATCTCTCCTCGTGACCTTAGACGTGATTGGTTATTTTTGTGTGTTTTCACACCCTCTAGGCTACTTGTATTGGTTTCGGTGCTGATTGTTTCTTTGACTTGAACTTTGATCCTTTGTGTGTGAGATTTCCTTCTTATCGGTTGGTAACTTTTGTCTATTTCGATGTGTCTATTGACTGATGATTCACTGGAATACCAGGCTTCTATAAATTCTCCAGCATTCTTGGTATTTCCTCTATCTAATATTTGAACGTTGTTCCAGTCGAATTGATGTCCGTGGTTGTCTGTATGTAGTGATATGAGGGGGTGGATGTTATGTCTTTTGTTAGCTTATGTTCATGGATATCCATGAAGCTTCGTAAATTAACGATCCAGCTCAGAGAACACAACCACATCAATATATAAATATATATATATATATATATATATATATGAACAGTTATACACCTGATGAGTCACATTTTTTAAGAAACGATGCTAGTGGTGGTCAAACCACAACAGTTAGTTTCAGCCAGCCAGTGACGTAGGGAGGTGTAGACTGGCTGGCTGGTTGCCGTCCTCAGGATGGTAAGAACTCATGGCAATGGCTGGAGACAATTGGTGATATGGCTCAAAATCATCGTTGTCAATGGCTGGCGCAAATGCACTTACTCTTTGTGATTTGTCATTTCCAATAATACTCAGTTGTTCTTCCATGTTACAACTCTTTTTCCCTCACTTACATTTCTGTTTATTATCTCTGTCCTGAATGTCTCATTACTGACTCTCTTCTTTGGCTTTGTGTGGTACATGGAAGGAGAGTGACAACTGAAACTGCTGCATATCTGTGCAAAGTTGTACATTGAAACCAGTCAGTCAGTCAAGGAACGACGTGACGTGGTGTTAAGACACCTAACCAACAACGACAACAGCAAGTACCAATCATCAGCGTCGTTTCAAATACAGGCGGCATATAGATGAAGTTGTTAAGGCTACCAACCAGGCTAAGAAAAGCAAAACAGACCTTCAATACTCCCAAATCAGTATGGAAGTCAATTGCATTCAGCATGCGGAACAATATCCACATTTTTAACACTAAAGTCGAGTCAGTCCTTCAATATGGTTCGGAAAATTGGTGCCTGTGACACACTGAAAACATTTCCAACAAGCTACTACTCTCCAGGCTTTTGATGAACACACGTCTTCGTTTCACACCGAAGATCAGATGGTCAACCAGGAAAGATAAGTAAAAAACCGACTCTGGCAACAAACCAACCAAGAACCTATTGCTGGATAAATATGCAGAAGGATATGGAGGAGGTTCGGACACACACTACTGAGTGGAATTATGCGTCAGACCATTGAGTGGAGACTGCATGAAAACCCACGAGTTGGGCGTCCAATAGTGACATGGAGTTGATCGTGTGAGGAGGAAATGAAAGCTTGTGGGCAATCACGGAGCCAGCTAAAAAGACACCAGAGGACAGAATGCAAAGGAGATGTGTTACTGAAGCTCTATGTTCCATCCGTCGGGACACTGCAAGAGGTTGGTGTATGCCACCCTGGCCTTTACTGTACGATTAACGATTCATCCATTGCATCTCTGCCAACCACCAAGATGTACAAATTTATTGACTAATTCTAACGGTTCACCCACTAGGGTGAATGCAAATACATGCTGCTGTCTATCTTCCAACAGTACTATGCAATTAGAACAAAGCGTATACTATGCTTAGAGACACTTATCACCAAATGATCAAGTGTCAGTTGGGTAGTCTATATCGCACAGTAAGACGACACCATCCGCATACTCAAGGAGCATCAGACAGTACTACCACCACTCATATCCTTCAAAGTTGCCCCTAGAATGTCACCGATACCAAAAAAGTTAAGAAAAAATGATGAGAATGAGTAACCTTTGTCGAAACCCAATGTTGGTTGAGAACAGTGGAGTTTGAATGGACATATTACAAGGGAATTATCGCTTCAATAACAGGTTAAACATAAGGCAATATAGAAGATTGAAATGTGTGCATCGGTGGTCTAGGAGTAGAACGCTGACCGACGATGTACAAGGTCCGGAGTCTGATTCCCTGTCACCGCATCCCTCGTCTCACCAGTAATAAGCGTGGAAAAGAGGGGAGGTTAGGGGTGAGACTAGCAACCTCATGCCATAAGAACAACACCAAGAAAACTGGAAACTCAAGGCTAAGAGCACGAAGTCCTAGGTCCCACTAGGAAGGCAAAGGGATGGAAGAAAACAGAAGATTGAGATATCGGTGAAAAGGATATAAAATACGCTATTCACCACACAAACATACACAAACAAACAATTAAAAACCCGCCTACCTTGAATCATATTTCGGTTTGAATTTTTTTCTATTTTTATTTGACTTGTCAACGACATGATGATTACCCCTTTTAAAGTTGATTCGTACTTTTGATTTATTATAGCGCATTATGATGAAAACTGAAAGTCTGCTTTAATCTACAAATATATGGGAAATGTATACATGAAGGCAAGGTATAATAAAAAAAGCACGAATTATGACCACAAGACGAACAACGATTCCGTATTAGTTTGTTTATTAGATATATGACACAGTGAAACGGTATTATTGTCTACTGGATGGCAAGGTTTCGAACACAATTTACTATGCGTCGGTGGCACAGTGGTTAGGACTCTCGCCGATCATGCACATGGTCCGGGGTTCGATCCCCTGCCGACGCACACCTGATATCAATGGTCGGCCTGCAAAATTTGGGCTACCGATATCGCATGCTGAGAATTCCATACTTGTACCGAAAATACGATGTGGAGTCAAGTTGTAATCAAAAATTTTAAAAAAGTAAAATCATAACTACACAACTTCGAAACTTTCTTCTTTATTCTTTCCTATTCGTCGTAGAGGTGTAGTAGAATTGTCTAGATGTCCGGGTGGACAGGTGTTGAATTATTCCTATTACACGTGTTTGCAGTTGATTCGATAAATAAAGCTCCACTTATCAATCTCTCCCTCCACTCTCTTTATATTAGATTTTAGAACTGTCATTTTATCCCATCCTATTGTATTGTTGTGTGTAATTGCATGTAGTGAGTTGTATAGCTGAACTATTCTCCAGATTTCTTATCTTATTCGAGTCAACTAATCTAGATTTTGCTAGGATTTTGTGCTCCAGCAGTCTGATTGACCCCGTCCTACTAATCTGACCTACGTATTTGACCTGACAGTCATTGCAGGTAGGGCAATAGATAAACTAAATTGTTTTGTTTAATTGGTTCCACAGGATCGTTTAGCCGATAAACCTTGTTTTTTCTAATTGAGTTTGTGGGTTTCAATGCTACTTTCATTCCTGGATTGTTGACAATTCTACGTAAGTTTATTTTAAATATCACACGTAGTGATGAAGCACTATTAACAACTGGATGACAAGGTTTCGAGCATAAATTATTGCTGGTCATAATCATATCAATTTTAGTCACACGGTTTCACAACTTGTTTTATATATCTTTTTCCTTCTATTCTGTCTCTACAACTTTCCTTTGTTGTTTGTTGCCACTTTCCATATATCCGGTATAGGTGTCGCATCTTTCCGACTGCACGTGTGCAGTGTTGAATCGATAAACAAAGCTTCAGATGTTAATCAATGACGCGACGCCTATATCGGATATATGGAAAGTGACAACAAACAACAAAGGGAAGTTGAAGAGACGGAAAGAGAGAAGATATATATGAGACACATTTTAAAACCGTGTGACCAAACTGATATAATTATTTTTTTTATTCCTTCACGTCCCCAGTGGAACATAGGGCTTCAAGCTAGAGACTTAAAGTTTCGGTAGCAGTGGTGTTCATTTTTACGGGATGGGGTTGCCTAGCCCTATGCCAAACCTTCCTGCTTTACCAGTCTTATGACTGGCTTAGTGAGGCAAAGGAGTGCGTCGGTGGCTGGGGATTGGACCCCGGAGCACGTGAGGTGTGATCGGTGAGCATTCTACAGGTGTGCTCGAAACCTTGTCATCCAGTTGTTAATACTGCATCATCACTATGTCATATATGGAAGAAACTTATCTAATATGGAATTACATTCTACCACAGTGCCTAAAAATTTCACACATACGAATGAATAATGAGGCTATTTGCTCAAAACAGAAACAAAGAATTCAATTTAAAGTATGTATGTATGTATTATGAAACATTTTATAAATATATACACTTTTTTATAAGTACAATGATAATAGAGGATTAAGCTAAATGTAGTACACCAATAGGATAACCAAGATTAGCAATCAGTCGTATCACTGGTCCACATCCGCCAACAACAAAAGCAGAATTCGAATGATACTTCATCTTTAAAGCTTCTACTGATTCAGATAAATTAAATGTATCAACAACAAGAATATGACTAATTCGTGAATTCGGTGGATCATATAAATCGAGTGAGGCTAACAGGCTACCCATATGATCCCACATATACAGCACGTTGGAATTACCACCGGATAGAATACGTGAATCATTATCCATATCACGGAATACAACAGTCTGTGCATACCAAGTAGATGATGAGCCTATTTGGAAAACAAAAAGGAAAAAAACCAAAGAGAAAATAACTAAACTCAACGTGTTTAGAGAATGAATGGCGAACACTGCCCATATGTGTGCATCAGTTTAAGCTGCTAAACATTCAGTTCGATAGGTAGACGCTCACGACATACACATGGTCCGGAGTTCGATCCCGGCCGGCGTACTCCTTTACCTCGCTAAGCCAGAACTAAAGCTGGTGAAGACGAAAGGTTGGGCTTGAGGCTAGCAACCCCATCCTGTAAAAATAAACACTGCTTCAGAAACTTCAAGCCGCTAGCTTGAAGCCCTACGTTCCACTGGGAACGTGAAGGAAGAAAAAAAACATTCAAAATGAGTATCAATAAATGAAGGGCATAAAATAATACGATATAAAATGAAAAGTTTTTTTAATTTACAGTCCAGTATCTAGACGCTGTGCGTCAGTGGCACAGCGGTAGAATGCTCGCCAACCACGTAGGGGTGGTTAGGTGTTCCATCCCCGGCCACCGATACACTCCTTTACCTCGTTAAGTTGGTAATAAGACTGGTAAGGAGGGAAGGTTTAACATAAGGCTAGCAACCCCATCCCGTAAAAATAAACACCACTGCTACCGAACCCTGTGTTCCACTAGGAACGTACAGGAATAAAGTAAGCAAAGTATCTAGACGCTAAGAACCAATGGCTTGAGACTATTGGTGACATAGTTCAAGATCCTTTTCTATGACACAGATGCATTCACTCTTTGTAATCTTCTAGATCCATTAACATCCTCACGTCTCTTTATGTAATCATTCTTCTTCCAGTACATTTGCCTTCATTACAGTTCTTTTGGATTTTTTTTCTCTCTCTACCTTTGTGTATTATATGCAGTGTGGAAAGTCCTATGTTGAAAAATCATTCAGTCAGCCAGTAAGTTCAATATCTTGTGACTTCAGCTCATATTTGATACGCCTACGACTATCCTACAGGTAATACTCATTCAATATTGCCCGAATATACATCTTGTTAGTAACTGATTACACTTCAACACTACCTCCTCTGAAGATATATATATATGTTTATAGGTTTCTGTGACTGGCTGGCTTCATCGTAGAACTATGTACAGATGTGCAGCAGTTCCAGTTGTCACTCTCCCTCTATTTACCACACAAAGCAAGAGAAGACAATAAAGAGACATCCAAAACGGAGATAAAAAAACAGAAGTGTGAGGGGAAAAGAAAAGCAATATGGAAGAACGACAGGGTTTTATTGGATACGACAAACCACAATAAGTGAATGCATCTCCGCCAGACATCGACAACGATTTGGAGTCATATCCCCAGTTGTCTCCAACCTCCATTGCTTCTTACCATCCCAAATAAAACAACCAGACATCCAATATACGCCTCCCTACGTGACTAACTGGCTCAAACTAACACTTATGGATTTCATTGACTCATGAAGCCATGTTTTCCTTTGACCACCACGTGCTAGCTCTTTTCCAACCTGAACAATCCTATGTCAATGGCTAACATTGCCTGCTGTCGAGGAACGTGATGGATGGCTAGACATATCCTAACCATCTCATTTAATCGATGTAACTTCACAACCTCGTCGATTGGTTTTCCCTCCTCACCTAGCACTTGACCAGTGCCTCACCTCAATATTACTCACTACATGAAACTCTGGTTAGCTGTCTTTGATCATAGGTGTGTGCGTTCTATCTGCCGTGTTAGGTGGTAGGTGGCCATGTCTCACTCACAGCCATAAAGGAGGAGGTGGAAGCGAACTGCTGACCAGTACATATGTCCTTCAGTTGACAGCCAGCAGGATATCACGTCTACTAAGCCACAGATGGTGTAAGTTGGCTGACAAATGCCAAACGAGTCTTCTGTATCCTTGCTGAGATTTCGTCAGTCATCAACCAGCTGGGCTGGCTGATGCGATTTCCCAAATAAGTGAAGTGGTCAACACGCTCGATCACTCCTGCTTATGTTTAAGCTAGGACTGAGTTGATGTAGTCCATCCCAGTCCTGTAGCATCGTCTTACATTTGACAGAAGCGAATTGCATGCCAAACACTCAAAATAGGTGTTTCTAAATTTTCCAAAGGTATTTGTTTTGAAAAGACTCAGTTTGATCTTCCACAGACATTTTACTTCACTGCTCCATTGTTAGTCAGTATTTAGTGTTCATGCCATTCTCCCTTTTCAATTGCTTCTCAGTGTTTCTCAATTTTTGCGAATACTTTTTTATCCCCTGCGTTAATGTATGTAGACTGAGATACTGACAACTATCAGCACAAAGTAAAGCCCTGATCAATATATACTCCCTATTACACTTAAAACCTACCTGGATCCACTTAAACTTATCCTTTTCGAATTGTAGGAGTTTAAAAACAAAGCTACCTTGTGTTTGTTCTGGTGATACAACTGTACCAATTTATCTTACAGGTTGTAGGTGAATAACGGTTAAGACAATTGCAAGCATATAATTACTAAACCATTATCTGCAGCTCTTAGTGTAAGACTCTAGACATTATCTGAAAGATCTCTGAACTAAGCTCTAATCACTGTTTCAACAACGTTTAGAAAACAAGTGTTCCAGTTACTTATAACGCTTATGGTTACTTGAAATGAGTGAATTATGCTGGGTGACTGAGTGTCAACATAGAATTGTACACAACGTACAGTAGATCAATTTGCTACAGTCCGTGTAGCACACAGGGTAGACAAAAGAGAGTGAGAGAGAAAACTCTTTGAGAACGATTCTGAGTCATTCTGAGTCACCAGTAGTCTCCAGTCATTGGATCTTAGCGAGCAGAGCGCCCCAACCAGGCAGTCTACAACTAATCAACAACTGTCAAAGACTTTATAGACTGATGAGAGGTTTCGGTTTGACCATTTCTAACTGTTTTCCAATCTAATCTTAGGTCAGCTAACATTGCTTGACGAGAAAAGCTGTGGATGAGGATGCGTAACACGAGTTCTAGCCACCTCAATCGAACTAGCTTCACAACCTCATTGATTGCCTCACCCTCCATACTTAACACTACTGCGTAACTTCAATATCACTCCCATATTATACCACTTACCACAGCAGATAGGATATAAACATATTTGGTCAAAGACAGCTAACCTTGCACTTTCAATAACCATGTCTCATAACCGTAAAGGAGGACACAGCAAACTGCTGCGCACTACACACGTCCGAAGTCAGAAATGATATAAGTTGGCAAAATGCCACACGAGCATTTTGTAACCATGCTCTGATTTCGTCAGCAATCAGTCCATTAGGGCTGATGCAACTTCCAAAATAAGTGAAGTGGTCAACATGCTCTACCACTTCACTCCATGTTTTTAAGCAACGATTTATACACTGCTTATACACTGCTATAAATAAGAACGAACATTTGAATCAGAAGAAAGTGTTGGTTGTTGTACCAAAACTACCAAGCATTTTTCACTTGATATGGGACATACTTTTACGAACAATGTATACACAATGAATAGGATTATAATAATTTAGATTACTACACAAATAAAAACCTACTATAGGCAGTAACAATACTGAACATCTTACCTTCAGGATGTAATGTAGAAACATTTCTTCCAGCACGCCTACTCCATAATGCAAGTCGAGGACCACCACCTGTAACAAACCAATCCTCTTCACCCTGCTTACATGATAATGCTGTTAACCAAGGTCCAAGCTTAGGTCTTGACAATTCATCAATCAGATAAGGTTTAAATATAGATGAAGCTTTAAAATTTCCACTTGCTGATACTCTATGATCCCAGAAGCAAACAGTACCGTCCTCAGAACAAGTACTAAACTAGACAAATGAAATAACTGACATAGAGTAAAACAAACCTCATGCACACCAACATTACAAATTTTGTAAATAGTCGTTTTATGTGCCACAAGTGTTAAATTCTCTCTGATATCACAACCAACAGAAAAGGTATGAATAGTTCCATCACCCAATGCTGCTAATAATGAATCACTCTCCGTGTTAAAAGTCAAGCCAGTAACCTTTAGAAAATAAATACACATGAATAAATAAACAATCTCACTTCAGAAATAGTTGTATACAGATTTGAAGGTGTTACATGAACTGTGTCATAATACTTTAAAAATCCATCAGTCGGTGAAGTCCATTTGTATATAATAATTAAACCAACTGTTCCACAAAATACATAATCTTTAGCAAAGCATAATGCATAAATAGATTTTGCTTTCTTAACATTGATTATACACTGTGGTTTTCCTTCGATTTGTGCATCTATAAAAAGATTATCATTATTATTATTGTTAGTATAAAGATTAATTTCACACTACCCACCACAAGACAATGAGCATAATGAATAAATAAGTAATCTTTGTGTGTTTGTTCCAAAAATTAAAAAATTTCCACATGGAGATGAAACTGATGATAATATGAGTGTATGAGCTAACAATCTATCATTCTGCATTATTCGCCTAAAGAACAAATAAAAGCAAAAGAGTAAGGTGAGTTTTAACTTGAAGCAAAAAACGCATTAGTGAAAACTATATATATAAACATACACATATATATTTTTTTCAAGTATTGATTTTATAGGGATTGTATTTGATTAGTTGAAAGGTTTCATCATGAGCTGACATCAGTTAGAGTTAAAATTCATGGGCCACTGGATCTGGTTCCAGTGGCTTAATGGTTTACGAGCTCGCCTTGTAACCACAAGGTCCTGGGTTCGAACCCTGTCGGCGGTTGCGGATTGCGGAAGAGTCCCGAACTAGGACGAAACAGCTGCCTGTCAGTACTCCCAGGTTCTCCAATGGTTCTCTTACTGATGTCAGCTCATGATGAAACCTTCCAACCAAAACTATATATGACAGAGAAATACAGTTCATAAAGTGAAATAAAATTTCGCATGCAATAAATGTGAACTGAACTGAAATTGGATTCTCAACTCAGAACTTTGCACAAAAGAGCAGTACTTCAGGTTGCCACAATCCATAAGAGCATATAAAAAATTCAAGAAAATAAATGCAATGAAATTACAATAAACGGAAATATACAGGAGAAAGAATAAGTATATAGTGAGGAATGAGGATTTAACGATTTTCTAGAACTACAATGAGTGTATCTGTGCCACCAAGAGTAATTGGTATCTATGACACTAACAGAACCCAGGTAGGTAGGCAGTCTACACGCTTAATATGTGGCTTGAATTGATACGTTGGATTTTTGGTTTGACCAGTCTTAACTTTTCAAACTCAACCCCATGTCAGATGATAATGCTCGACCACATCAAATATAGTTTGGAATATATAAGACGTCCTTGCCATCTTAATCGATGCAGCTTCATCGACTGATCTCCCTTTCTTATCTAAAAATACTCCCAACCTGATTATTATTAATCATACACCCATGAACAAGAGAAGTTGAACTCAAACACCTAAGGTAAAAGACAGCTAATCTTCCACCCTTAAAGAGCATATTCCACAGCTTTTAAAGGACAATGTGGACTGATACACAGTACACAGACGACTAACCGTTTGTTGTTTGTGTCTGTGCTACAGATGACGCAAATTGGCAAATGTCAAACGAGCCTTTTATATCTGTGCTGATATTATGTCAGCAATTAATAGATCAGACATGTTATACACTAATCACTGTGCTACACCACTTATGTGAGGTTTAAGACACTACGTAGCTGTACAAACCAAGTTGATTGGAATAGATTTCGAAGTTGTCATACGCTGAATTAAAGCGTCTAACCAAAGTTGTACAATTCAGATACATTAATTATATTTATTCCGAACACCTCAACGAAATGGACATTAATGGGAAAAAATTGAATAAAATCACTGCAGAAATAAAGCGTGAGTGGTCTTCAGGAACTTTCTTATCATCAATCAATCTGCAAAAACAACATAACGACAACACTCCTTCCCTTGAGAGACTTAAAGCTTTTGGTTCTATAGGTATACCTATAGAACCAAAAGTTATAAACGTTTTAAGATATTAAGACAACTTATTTAGGATTTACAATGCACTAGTACACATCTCAGACCTTCCCATTACAAAGCAATTATATATACAAACTGGTGATACATTACAGCCGCAATATATTAAAAACCATACGAAAAATTAGATTTCATATACCGCAATCAGCGGTACATATATATACATGTACGTTTATTAATGTGATACTTGTAATTTGGTATTAAACACCATGTATTTGACTCTCATTTGTAAAATCAAATATTATGTCCAGCTGAGTGGATGTTAATTTTGGTGATTTATCAGAAACATATCGCAACTGCAGCAATTGCTTAATTTATTTGATTGCTGTGTACGCACTGAATCAGTAGCAGTAATCAGTCCCACTGTTTTTTGAATAACACAAGACCAAAACAACATTAATAAATGACAACAAAAACCTTTCAATTACAAACGCAGCCCGGACAACTAGTAACGTTTACATGAACTAACCAGTACATGAGTAAAATTATGGTCAAAATTCCCGCGTTTAGAATATCCTTGCCCAGTATTGCACTCAGTATTTGTTTAGGAGAATAAGACTCGATACCTACCTCAGTCCTTCCGTATTAATTATCCATTTCCTTGTATTTCCCTCTTGAAGTCACAGATATTATTTCATCTGAAGTTGACCACAAGTGATAAAGTCACAATGGGAAAACAAATCCCTTAAAGTGATTTAGGTCGTCCTTGACTTTCAAACCTTTCTGATGGCTCCATTAAGTTGTTTCGATATGAGGAGGAAGTAAATCAAACCCACTATTAATTCCGAAATTATGAACGTCATGACTAAACTACTAACCCTGATGCATGATCAGAAGTGATTCAGACATTTCAGTTGTTCCCATCTGAAACCACACATAAAGGGCTTCTCTAGACTCTTTCCATGGTATGCAAGTAATCCCCATGGCAAGGATGAGTTGTTTGAATTCAGTTTTCTAATCTGGAACACATTAGAGATATGTGCTTTGAACCTGCGCTCGCTTCGAATACGACGTGCATTTTCCTCTCTAACAGGAAATATCCACTTTTGTGAATAATTCGTTTGGGAAACCTGATCTTCCTATCCGGCGAATTTTATTCAACCATTTCTTCTTCACCAAGCCTCTGTGTAGTACTTTCCACTGTCTCGAACTACTGCCTAAGCTTCAGGTGCTACTTCTGTAGCAACATCCTGCTCACTCTTTCAAATATACAGGACTTGTTGGTCTGTTACGGGATTGTTGTGAAACCGAATAACCCGAAAGTTACAGGTAAAGTCAAAAGCTTTTACTTATATACTTTATCTTCCTGTTCTGTGCTTTCTATTGTCTTTTGCTGTCAGTCTATTGGACAAAACAACTCCACAGTCTCTTATTATTTAATCATCGGTATTAATTTAGGAGTAATATGACGACAGATTCTCACCCTGAGATATGTAATGGGACACCATACACCGTAGTCACCAGGGCTTCAGCCAAATTAGGGAAACAGGTGAAGGTGATGGACTCTCGCATACGTGTCTTGAAGACCAGGGTAAATATTCCCTGCGTGGACAGATTATCCATGTCGCCACAGTCCTATAGTGAAACTGTGCAAACAGGGATGTGGCTCCATCCCTGTTAACACGACTAGGTTAATAGAGCCGAGTGGTAAATCTGCACTAAGTGAGAATTGTATAACACCCATCTCCGTAGTAGACCTCGAAACAAACAGGAAGGGAAAAAAGAAGCGTTCACGACGTCACAAGACGACAAAAATGTTCCCCAAAAAGGCAGACGATTGCAAGATCTGCGATTCTGTTGCCGAACAAGTAGACTCTGCCTTCGGATGCAACTTTTGCAAGCAATGGGTATATTGTAAATGCGACACCGGGGTACCAAAAGAATACTATGATTTTATGCGTAAGAACCCATGCCCATGGTTCTGGTACATATGCCTAAGTTGCCGTCCTCATGCGGCCTCGTGTAGTTCCTTGAAATCAAAAGATGGCATAGAGGTATCAGGGAAAAACGTGAAACGTTCTACTCCCACCAACTCGGAAAATAGCACAGTTGCGCGTAAATCGGGGATACGAATTTCCACACCGGTTAAACTTGCAATTCTTGTCACAACTGCTCCAGACACAGAGGCTGAAGCACCAAGGGTATCTGTCGTTGGAAAAAGACCCTTATCGTCTGCCAGTAATAGTGGCCACGGCACTGAGACACACAATAATACCCAGTTGCACCAGACGAAACAAAACGGTCTTAAAGGGGATGACAAATGTGCGAGGACCGAACCTAAATCCACGGTTAGCAGATCAGACTGCGTAATCCTCTTTAATGTACCAGACTGTAGTAGTAGTCTGTTGGCTAACGGGGCCCTGTTTGATCAGGAACAGTGGTCCAACTTGTGTAGCACATTGGGTCTGGACATCCAACCAGTAAAACTATGCAGATTGTATAGGGCACTGCTGCTCCCCAAGGCAAACCATCCCCACTGAGGGTAACACTGGGCTCTACCGAGGATGTCGAAAACGTTTTACTGACTTCTTAAATCTTTTCTATAGGGAGGGTCTGCAATATACGTGTTAGGCCAGACAGGCCATGGAAGGAAAGACAGATGGCGAGGGAGTCGCCAGAGCTTATTCCTTCTGCTTCCATGGTTGCTCAAGGCATTCCCGAACTGGTAACTGTGAACGCTTGCGAGAAGCACCATCACGATGTGCAGCAATGGAGATGGTTGGCATCCCAGATGGATCTGGGGAGTTCAGGGCTGTCTTTATTTATAGACTGCCTCAACTCACTCACCTTATGTCAGTTAGCACGCCACGTCTGTTAGCTGTCCAGTTCATCTCCCGAGACCACTTGGCTACTGCTCTCCAGAGATGGTACGAGACCAAGGACAAGGTCAGCAGACACATTCGCTGCTGTGAGAGCCGGCCTCGTACCCAAAGGAGAGAACAAAGCGTTGTCAAAGAACATCCCTAACCCCTAGTCACAATACAGCGGTGCAGCACGGATGACGATAGCCAGTGTCATCCAAGTGCTCCGATTGAACTACCAGTTGCTTGTACAGTAATGTGAGAATGGCTAAGAGGCAAAATAGCTGAACTTAGACGAGATTTTGACCTGAAAGAAGGAGGTGGAGTCACCATATACGTCGACAAACAGCTCAGATGTGTTCACGCAATGGACCCTCCCCTCACTGAGCTCCCTGACTCCATATGGTGCCATTTCACCGTTGGGCACTGTAAATATCTAGTGGGCAGCATTTATCGATCACTTTCATGTGGAGCAGACCACAAACAGGTATTGCTAAATACAATTTCAGCGACACAAGACATGGGTTTTGATCAAATTGTCATAGCTGGTATTACCTCCCCCTTTTAAAAAGAATCTTGCAATCAGTTTAGTATCTTTTTTCCTTGGGGTCGATTTGGAAATGAACTGTTTGTGTTCGTTTGCGCTGGGATCGTCGGCT